GGCTTATATATATTACTCAATGATTCAAACAACAACTATCCTAATCATATAAAAAATATTGTCTACAAAGAAATCTTACACAACATCACATAAATAAATATATACAAAATATATACCACCTTATATTCTTCACAACATTAAAATTTTTTAATATAACATTTTTAACAATAAATTCAAATAGAATATTTGTCATTATAATAACATCTTATTTACTTTTTTCAGGACTAAGAAAATATGACAACACCTATTCGTGCACTAAAACCAAATGAAGTCTATGAAACAATACAAGCACGAGTATGCAGAATATGGACAAACAACGATTTTGTCTCAAGACGCCTGATCAGCCTTGACTGTATCCTGGTTGATGAAGATGTACTAAAATTTAAAATGTTATATTACATATTATTCTATATAATATTTATTAATATTGAATAAATTTTTACTCTTATTATTTATTTACAGCATGAGGCAATACAGGGAACAATTCGAGCACGAGATTCGGACTATATTTCCCAAAAAATTGTGCAAGGCAATATATACAATATTAGCAACTTTTATGTTACTGAAAATAAACCAACATACAAAGTTGTTCCACATAGTGCTATGATTCAATTTGCACGAGCAACTTCCTTTATTCCAATTGTGGAAGATGCACCACACATCCCATTTCACAAATTCTACTTCATAGAATTCGACCAGTTGTATCAGAGAATAAACAATACTGAGATATTAACAGGTATTATCCTACTTAACTTATTTTATTATTACTATAAAATTTTCTTCAATATTTATTTACAAAATTTTCCTATTTATATATAATACTAGATGTTATTGGAGTATTAACGAGTGTCCAGGCACTCGAGCATACACATGTTAGCACTAGACCAACAACACGGCGATCCATAACAATACAAAACATCAAGTATAATAATTTCATACTCTTTTTCCTCAAATTTACTATTCATTACAACTATTTAACATGAATATAATTATTCCTCGGTTTTATCATTCACTTTTATTACTCATTCTTATAAACCGCTTTTTGCCCACAGAAATGAACATCTACAGGTAAGCCTATGGGGACATAAAGCCGATCAGTTTGATGAAAATGTCCTTAAAGCATTAAAGGCACCAATTGTCGCCGTTTTCTCATCAATGCTGACAAAGCAGTATCTAGGTATTTTTGATAATAGTTTAGCTAAACTTCTTTATATACACATATACAATAAAATAGCATACATTTATTATCTACTTTACTATATTTCAAGGTAACTCATATGTTTTAACTACATCAGCAACGATCTTCTATATTGATTCGGATATCCCAGAAACAACAACATTAAAGACAAGGTAAACAAACATGTATAGAAAATATATGCTAATAAATTTATCATATTAAATAATAATACATTTTATTTATACCTTCCTGGCCTTATTCATATTTTTATACGTACAGATTTTCCCACCAAAATCAACAAATTGAGTTCCTACCACCTCCAAAAACACCTATCCAAACAGTTGAAGAGTAAATATCGACAAATAGAAGAACAATAGAGGAGCTCAAAACATTGGATGGACAAAATTATCTGGTTAGTACTATTAACTTTCCTATCATTTTTTTAACTATACTTAGTAAAGAATTTTAAACAAAATTATTATCTCTTTTATACAAGGTGAAAAATTCACTGTAAGAGCAACAATAGTAAACTTCTCGACGTCTCAAGGATGGTTCTACAATTCTTGCCCCAGATGTTACTGAAAATTAAAACAAGCAAGAATTGGTTGGTGGTGCGACAGTCATGGCCTTATAAAGTCAACACCCTCTCCATGGTAAATAGATTTATTACCATACCCTTTTAATTTATTACATATATTCATTTAATTTAATAAAAAAATACATTACAAAAAATATACATATATATGTATATATATTACAGGTACAGATTAACAATTCATATTGAAGATCATACTGGAGACATAAAGGTCATCGCTTTTGGCAGAACCGCTCAGGCATTAATAAAAAAACCCTGTTCTGCACTAACAATTGACGAGGGCTTTACTGATCCATTTATAATACCACCAGCTATCGATCAGATCCGAGGACAATCCAAAATCTTCCAGATCTTTTCCAACAATGAGGCACCCAAATGAGTACATTAATTTCTAAAATATTTGAAGACATCCATGTTCCATCATCGCCACCAAAACTATTAACTGCAGGAACAGAAGAACCACTTAGGTAAATATTATCTTTAAAATTTTCCAGCAACTATACATATATAATATTTACATTATATTAATAACACCTTTAAAAATTCCCACATCTTTCAGCCCACCAGCTATACCATCTTCCCGGCTCTCAACACCAGCCACATTTGATCCACACACTCCAACACCAAAAAAGCCTAGCACAAGGTAAATCACATTCAACACAACAAAGATTATCAATTTATTCAAAAACATATCTACAGCTTATTTCATTCTTTCAGTCCTGAATCAAGAACAACAAGACAGTCTACAAAACGTCCAAAAACAAGGTACTTTAAATATTTTTATAATACTTATTTCATACTATATATTTTAACCACCTTTACTTCTTTTAACATTTATATTTACAACTGCTTCCCTCATTGTTATGCTTGCAGCTAAAAAAAAAAAGAATTGCCAAAGGACTACAACTTCTCTTTTTTTTCCCCTGTACATTTTGTGTATATATAAATATTCTAAATAATAACACTATATATGTATGCATAAATATTTTTGTACAAATTTTATATCGACTATGTAATACAATGTTGTATAATACATGTATATATATATAAATATATTTTAAATACAACTGCTACACAATATAACACTGTTTTCTGCAGCAACGCGCGGATCTCACGCTCGTATATATCTAAAAGATATGTGTATAAATTTCAGTAGTGTATATATTAAAGAATAGTAGATGAAGGTGTAAGTTTTAAGCAAATTTTTCTTTAAAGAATATTTTTTGATAAAAAATAAATAAAATTAGTACATTTATAATTAAAATTGATTATTAAAGATGTTTTAATAAATTCAAATATTGATAGCAAATGTATTTTGTAGTTTGTAAAAGCAACTCCAAATCTATTTATCAACTTCTACCGCTGGATCTGGATAATAATTTTTATAAAGAACAGTTTACCATATACCATGATCTATTGTAGATTATTTTAACAATCTAAAAACAACCGTTAACATCAATGCCAAATGGATCTAGAATCTAATAAAGATACATCAAGTTCTGAAGCTTAAAAAATGCACAATAAAAGTTTTTTTTTTTTTTTTGTGTGTGTGTTTCTATTAAACAATTCTCCTAATTTTCCAATGGACCCTTTTTTCTTTTTTCTTTTTTTGTGTGGACATAATTGAAAGTATTAACTTAATTATGTATTTAGTTAAAAAAGTATTAACTTAAAGTTAGTTGAAAAGCCAAATCTAGACAGGTTTTGAAGAGTTTATTAAAGTAAATCCATGTCACTTTTTTTTTTTCCCTTTTTGGCTAATGAAAATTTATATCTTACACAACTAGATTTCCTTTCCTTCATCCTAACAAATATTTATGTTGTTTCTTGTTTGTTTCCAACATTACTTTATTAGAATTTTAATTTTGAAGGAGCATCCTAACATGCTCCAACTCTTTATTGTCGTGTTTTAGTTAACTTGTTTTTTTTTGTTTTTTGTTTTTTTGCTTGAACGCGTTTTAGTTAACTTGTTTTCTCTTAATTATTCCTAAATTTGATCCGTACTCATCTTCTAATGTACGCTCAAACCGTTGACTTCCAACTTTTAACCTCTCATCTCTCTGCCAACTAACCATAATCATGTAAACACGTATAGTTATCTTCACCTTCACGTGAATGAAAAAATCACCGCAGTAAATAAAACTGAAAACCGGCCATGACGAATCAAGAAACGCCACGCGTCCTAGTTTACTCTGATTCGTTAATGTGAGCCGCCTCTTCCCCAATCCCGAAAGGGATTCTTTTCCCAAAAAGATTCGACTCCCCAATTTCACAGACTTCCTTTGCTTCTCTACCATTCTCTCTCTCTCTCTCTCTCAGCTGAGACTCAGATTGTTGAAGTCACAACAACAACAAAAACAACATGGGAAACGCCTTAAGATTCTTGTACGGACACTGTTGCAATCCTACCACCACAACTGGTGGGGACAATGGCTCGCTGGGGCCCCACGGCGTCTCCACCGCCACCGTCGGTCTCTCCGCCCTTGCCCATGACATCTTCCAATTTGAGATCACTTCTCAGGTATACTAAACTAATTCTCTGCCTATCTTATTTCAAGCTCGTCTCTTTTCTTCTCAAATTTTGTCTCTCATACTAATTAATGTTACATGTTATTAGTACTTGAAACTATACGAGGTAAAAGATGAGCTAATTAGGCATCAATTTCAATTTCTTTTCAATTATATCCTTAATGCAATGAAATTGTTGTTTTTAGGTCCCGGATGGCCTCAGTAAGCATGTTGTATCGTCCAAGAAGGCTCAGGCTAACTGGTATAACTAATTAATTGTGACAAATCTTTTTCCACATTGTTATGACCTAGTTCTGGCCATGATGAAAGAACGTGTTAATGAATTGTATAACTTCTGTTTGGTATATAATATTATTAAGGTACAGAAAACTAGCAGAAGCATGGAGAGAAGCAAAACCCCCTCCAAAAACAGCTGAAGAGGCAGCTAGGCTGGTCATCCAAACCTTGAAGAGACACAAAAAGGCAGATGTTGAGGTATGCTATACAAAGAAAACGACATTGACAAAATATTGAACCGGATAAGCTTTCATATGAAGCTTAAACTATATTGTGAACAAGTAATTAACTAAAAGATTATCTTCTAATTGATTGTTTTATAGGGCTTGCTGGCTTTCTATGGTCTGCCTCTTCCTCATGCCCTTGTTGAGCTCTCTGCTGGGGTCCCAACTTCACTACCTCAAGGAGTAAAGTTTGAATTGCTAACATTACCAGTAAAATCACAATTTCTATTCCGCTTTTGTTCAATAACCAAGGGGAAAAAAAAGGCCTTCTTTGAAGCTATTCATCATTTTGATGAAACCAGGTCGATGCGAAAGCGGTAGCAGATGGGGACACAGTGACCATCTATGTCAGCACAGCCGAACCCCGGGAATCATCCTGCGTTCCTAGAGAAGTACAAACGGCCGCAGTTCAAAGATCCCAAGCGCGTTCTCAGAAGAACTATGAAAAGGCAGATGCACTTCACAAACAGATAATTGATTCTGGATACAGGTGACATATCATACAATTTTCTCTTGAGAGAATTTTTTTTCAACTCATCCATACTTGATGCATTACTAATCAAGGACTACCTCAATGCAGGGTGATCAATCTTCAAAACAACGAGGAGGTTCTTGCTCGAAAATATCGGATTCGGTTGAGGTAATTTTTATTTGCTTGCAAAATTTAAGATGAAATATCAGACTTGAAGTGGATGTGGATGATAAGATTGTGGAGGGACACAGGGGAATAGATGCACCAGAGAGTAAAATGCCATATGGTAAAGAAGCTAAGGAGGAACTGGCCAAGCTTGTTCAGGGAAAGTGTTTGAGAGTCCTTGTCTACGACCAAGATCGTTATGGCCGTTCTGTAGGTGATATATATTCCAACGGCATATTCGTACAGGTACTATATATAAGTTTCCATTGACACTCTTCTTATTCTGGTTTTACACCAATGACCATTCTGAACCATCCTGTTTCCATCTCAAACCAGGAAATGATGCTCAAGAAAGGACTTGCTTGGCATTACTCGGCCTACGATCAACGCCCGGAATTTGCAAGAGTGAGTACTATCTTGATCTTGCTGATTTTTGTGCATACATTTTTCTTAGAAATTTCTTTATTCTAAAATCCGTAAGCAATAATGCTAGTGGGAAAATGAGGCTCGAGGAAAGCGGGTTGGGTTATGGGCATCCTCAAACCCTGAGAAGCCATGGGAATGGAGAAAGGACAAACGAGACGGCAGATAATAACATTTTACAGGTACATATCGGATCAAGACCAGTAAGGGACCTGAAGCTATTTGAGGGACTGAGGAGACTGTTGTCAATAGTTATTTGTATCAATCATTTATAGGGTGTTTGGTATGAGAATTCATGTCATGGTTCGAATCATAATTCATGACTAACTGCAATGTTTTTTCTCACAAAAAACACACATAAACTGAGAATAGACAATTCATAATTCATATAGGAGTTTGTAAGTTATATCAGAAAATTATGGTAATAATTGCAAAGAGAAAATCAGCTGAGAAAGATATTCATATTGTTTTCTTCTTATCAGTTAAGAATGTGCAATCTGCCAGGGCTCTTCCATGAAAAAAAAAAAAAAAAAGGAAAACGTGCAATTGACTAGGATAATAAGATGACCCGTTCTCCGCGACATAATCTTGAATTCGAGCCAATCCCACCATGATGGGGTGGAGTTCATGGCCAATCTATGATCTATAACCCTATCTTTATGAGTTAGCTATTCTCATAACTCTTTTTTCTTTCGGCAAAATATAAAAAACAAAAGCAAAAGAATAGAATAATAAGACAACTCTCATCATTTCTCCGGACCAATTGAGCTACTAAAGTTGAAAAGGAGGGAACAATCTCAATATGAAGATGGTTAATGTTTATCCTCAGAAACAGTACAAAATGGAAGTGCCAAGCATCACCAAAAAAAAAAAAAAGGTTTGAATTTATAACTCAATTACATTGTTGACGTCTTGTTTCCCATTTCAAAGTCTTGTTCTGATAACTTTCCACTGATGAATAGACAAAACCTTTCTTCAACTCTTGGTCGAAGTAGGAAGTATCCTCAAAATTACAAAAGGCCAAAAAAGAAAAAAAAAAAAAAAAAACCAAGTAGCATGTCTACTTGACCTTATCATTGGGGGTCATCTTTCAGTTCTTCAGAATCTGAATCGCTTGCATTGTAGCCTAATGGAAAACAAAAAGAAGAACAAATTAGAACAAACAAGACCATAAAAATGATCCAACTAACTGGGGAGATAAAGGGAGAAAAATAGAGAGAGCTACCTGGTTGTTTATCGCTTACTCTCCAAGCCGAAGATCGGCTTCTTGAAGCTCTACTAATCCAAACGCGTCCCTATAATTTACATAGACATATAGTGATTAGTGAGTTTAGCTTCTTCAGAACTTATGGAAACACAAAAAGGACAATTTCACTAACAAAACAAACAAACATTATGGAATGTTAACCACATCTCAAAATGTAAGCAAAAATAAAGAAAAGAAAAGACGGCCACTCTCCCCAAATTCTGCCAATTTTCCGAATGCAAGTGTTGTTCTCAAAACAACATTGAGATTTTAACGATACGGTAATGTACCGTCGTGCCTGTTTTAAACCGTCAAATCTGATTCTATCAGTTTGCATTAGTTTTTGTTTTGACATGATTTTAATTAAATTTTAAATTAACTAAGTTGTGGTATACCCCATGTAAAAATCTCCAATTAATGTATGGCAAGCACAATAGTGTACTAACATAATGTTAGATTTATCAATTTACCAATTCTCCAAAAATCTTAACTAAAGCGCAAATTCAAAATATAAATGACAAATTAGCCACCGCAAACCACATGAATTTGACTAATATCAGTCTCTAAGTTCAGCATTCTCAACACTCAAAAAAGCTCAACACTTGAAAAATTCCAATATACAAATAGGAATTTTAAATCCACGAAACCCAAAAAAAAAAAAAAAAAAAAAAAAAAATCACCTTCGTTTTACGTGTGGCGACGCCATAGCCACTGTAATACATCTGTCCGACCAAGACCTGCATAGCGGTGTCGCCGGCCTTGGCCTCCCTGAGCGTGTCCTGGAACCACCGCTTCACGCAGTCCGCCACCACCAGTGACAGCGGCTGGGGGGGCCGCTGCCCCCCCCCCGTGGCGGCTCTGCTGCCCCTCCGACGACGAAGACGACGTCGTTTCCATCTTCTTGACTCGCTCCGAGTCGACTCGGGCTTCGGGGGAAGGAGTGACTCGGACTTGGGACGCGCGTTGCTTCGGCTTTTGGAGCTTTTCCGAGGAGGAGATGATTCTGGTGAGTTCTTGGATTCTGCTCGTCGAAGGAAGCGACTTTCCCATAAAAACAGAGCGAAAACGAATTGAGTTTTTTGGTTTTTTTAAAGTAGAAAAATTGGGAAATTAATTTCCTTTTATTTTTCTGATTTTTTGCCTTTCTTATCTGGTTTTCACGTTGGAGGTTTCTCTCTGTTCATGAGATCTTAAACACAAAAGTGTTAAGGTCTTTCCAATTACTTGGAAAGCCGAACGAAGCAGCTGTAAGGCCAGCATGAGAATGACCCTGGGCCCACAGTTCAGCTCTTCGGTGGCCCAGAAGTTCCAACACATCATCGCCCAATTTCCGTGCGTGTAGGTGGGCCTATCATCCTACCAGAAGGAAATCCGGCGTAGCACTGTTCGGCCCAAATTTTGGTATCACGTTAGATGACTTTAAGTATCATGGTGAGATAGGCGATTGCCCGTAAATAATCACACTAAGGACCCGTTTAGAAGATATACTTAAACCATGATCCTTGATTCTGACAAATGAGCCATATACTTAAACCATATACTTAAACAATAATTTAAGTTTAGGTATATGAAACAAATGAGCCCTAAGATACTAATAATCTCTACTAGCCACCACATGGTTTCCAACCTGCTATCGCCGGTTGTCAAATTTTTAGTCCTATGTGGGGATACCTTATATCTCTAAGTATCATGGTATGATACCGGTGATCGTTTGCCAAAATTTTTAGAGTTTGTTTGGTAAAAGGGTTCAAATCAGGGTGAGTTTAAATCTTGAGTTTGAACCGTGTGGGTTTTGAACTATGTGGTTTGAACTTGGGTTCAAACCTTAAAAATCTAACAGGGACTTCCTTTTATTTTGAGGGTTTAAATATCATATCAATGGGTGCAAACCTCTTTTCACTTTTACAAACAAACATTGATTTGAAACAAAACTTTAGTTCAAACCCCATGAACCTTCCAACCAAACGACCCCTTAGTATCATTATGGAAAACCTTTAATTTTGTTGTAAAAATATCACCGGTCGCTTATGGATGTTGCCAGTATCTTAGTGGACGTTTGGTTCATGGATTCAGAATCATGATTCAGAACCATTCTCGTTTTACGTGTGTTTTTTGTGAGAGAAAAACACTGTAGAGAACCATGAATCATGATTCATAATCATGAACGAATACAAAAAACAAACATCTCAAAAGTTCTTAGGCTATTTTGTATGAACACCCTCTGAACTTTTTGAATTTAGTAATTTAGTCTTTACACTTTTTTTCCTGGCAATCAACACCCCGAACTTATAGTTTTTGGCACTTTCAATCCTTGTTGCTCAAATTTGTTAAAATTTTGACCATTTTTTACACCTAACTTGCAAATGATTGACTAATAAGGACATTGATGTTCATTTTTGTTTAGTTTCAATACAAATACATTTAGAAACTTGAGCTTAATTTAATTATAACTTAAACTTTAATTTAAATTTTAACATGAAATTTTATTAATACCAAACAAAAATATCATTAATGCGATTTTTAGGTTGTCACTTGTAAGTTTGGTAAAAAAACCATCAAAATTTTAACGAATTTGTGAAACAATGACTAAAAGTGCTAAAAATTAAAAGTTATGGAGGTTGATTACGAAGAAAAAAAGTTTAAGAACTAAATTACTAAATTAAAAAAAATTCAAGGGTGTTCATACAAAATAGTCCAGTTCTTATACTGTTAGGAATATATTTAGTATTTTAAATACGATAGCATAACATTCTCTACAATAATCTTTCTTTACATCTCTTAAATGCTCCTGGATTTACCCGAAAATTAAAAGGATTAGGGGACTTAGACAAACACTGTTTAGCAAATATATTATTTCCATATAAACAATTGTAAAATACCGCTTTTTTTAAATAAAAAAAAAGGTTATTTACATAAATGACAATTATGAGTGCTTTTTTTTTAAAAGATGACTACTTTTTTATTTATTTACAAAATTATCTACTATTATACATGTAAAGACATTTATATTCTTATATGATAAAAAGAGAAAAAAAATAATGAAACAACAAAATAGGAAAGAAAATGAAACACAATCTGAATATAAAACATTCTAAGTTTAAAATACAAAAGTCAAATTATTGTATTCATAAAATCTAATCTAATTATTTTTAAAAAGGGAAAGTCTTTATGAAAAAAAAAAAAAAAAGAAAAGAAAACTCACCGAATATTTTTAAAAATTTCAGCCTTAAAAGTCTGTGACCTCGATAATTCTTCCAAATTGAGTCCCTCCACTTTAAAATCAAACAATATTTTTATTATTTAATGGTCAAATCATTATAAAACAGAATATATAATACAAAGGAACAAAAAAAATGTACACATTAAATAGCTTTTCATTAGTTTAATGGTGATATCATTTTAGAACACACTGAAAATTTAAAAAAAAAAATTGCAACAAGTCTTAAACAATCAACATCCATGTATTCATGAACACATAATAAATCGTTTCATTATTGTAATGATTCCAGAATTATTAAAAGAATGAATGTAAAGTTTGAGATGACTTGAGCAAAATCAGACACTGAAATAAATGTGTTTTTGAGTCGACGAAAAAACACAAAAATGTACAAAATTAATACACATTTTCACTAAAATTATTATTAGATTATAATGAAACAAAATTTCTATAAAGAAACACTAAATGAACTCATCAAAAAATATTTCATTATATGAGAAATTATGGTAAAGATGTAAAATAGGCTATAGACATGCAAAAAATAAAAATCTCTCACATTTTTATTTTCTTAATGAACATATCATTATTAAAAACAACGAATACAAAATTTGTAAGTAATGAAACAATTAAAATGCACGAAAAAAATGAGTTTGCAATTTATCTATTTTCATTGTGTGAAAGAAGGTGAAACTTATGGTAAATATATAAAACAAATTACAGACAAGAAAACAAAATAACAAATAAAAAAGTCTATCAGATTTTCATTATCTTAATGACAATATCATTATGAAAAGAAAATAAGTACAAAGTTTGCAAGTAATTCAAAACAATCAAAATGCACGGAAAC